AAGGTACCGGTGGATCTCCAAGATGCCATCTCCTGCTCCATGGCAGCTATCCACTGAGAGGCCTAGGGTCCCGAGGTGGCCTCAGCGTAGGTGCGAGGGGTCGGGAAGTCATGGGCGTCTGGGTCACCCTCAGGGACTAGCAGCATGGAACAGAGATGGGGAGCGGCCTCTGACAGGAAAGCAAGCTCGTATTGTCTGACCTCTAGGACGTCACTGCCAAGGGCAGCCATACCCCGGACGGACGGAGGGCAGGCACGGTCAGAGTCCAGAGTGGTGGCGTAGTCAAGGCAGCGGGTAGCGGCGAAGTCAGTGACAGCAACAACAAGAGCCGACAGACTCGAGACAGGAACGGACGGGTCTGTAACAAGAGAGGCACGGACAAGGAACAAGGGAACGCGCGGCACGGAGGAAGTAAGAGAATGGAGGCGGGGCCACAGCGAGCGACGACGGAGGAGGAGACGGGAGGAGCGGAGGAGCATGAGATGCGTGGGAGCGGAGCAACATAGGGTGAGAATGTGGAATAGGGGAGGTAGGAGAACCAGGAGACGGACGACGAGCCCAGACGTGAGATGGAGGAGTCGGGTCAGGAGAGAGGGGAGGAGACACGGGAGGAAAATGAGGAGGGAAACGAGCCGGAGAAGAGTCCACTGGAGGAAGCACAGGGTCGTAGACCGGTAGAGGAGGAGACGGTGGTGACCGAGGAGGCACTGGTGGGTGATCAGGGGAAGGAAGGCCGAGGAGGCGAAGAGCGGACACCGGCGGCGACTGCGGCGGCTGCTGCCCGACGCCAACATCAGCACCTCCAGCGGCACCACGGCTCCCTCTGAGAAGCCCCACAGCAGCATCCCCAGAATGGGAACCCACTCCAGTACCCGCTCCGGCACGCTCCCCAGCACCCCCAGAACGCACACACCCGAGCGGTGGTGACGATGGCGGCAGCGGCGGAGGCGGCTGCGGCTGCGACAGCAACGTTGGCGACAGGGGAGGAGAGACTGCGGCTGGGACAGGCGGTGGAAGAGACTCCGCTGAGCTGCGAGAGTCAGCAGACTCCTCGGCAGGGATAACCGACGGGAGGGGGGTGACGTGAGACACACCAGACGGGGCAAGGCGGGGAAGGGGAGGAGCAGGGGCGACCGGGAGAGGGGGAAACAAGAACTGTGGCGGAATAACTGGGGGACCACGGTGGGGAAAGCGGTGGTAGAAGGAGACTGACTCGTCAAAGGTGACGTCGCGAGAGTGAAAGAAACAGTGAGACGGCGGGTGGTAGAAGTGCCAGTCAGACGAGTCGAGGGGGAAACATAGGAAGACACAGGGGACGCTGCGGGCAGTAAGCTTGTCCGTGCCAGAGGCACGAACGTGAGCAAGGCAGCCCCAGACGTGGAATGCAGACACGTCACCTGGAGACCCGGTCCAGAGGAGGGTCGGCAAAACATGCGGCCGCTGAGGGTGCGGCCACAAGTTAAGCTGGTGGGCGGCATAGCGAACGGCGAACGGCCACAGAAAATGGGGTGCACCGGCATGGATCATGGAGGTACAAGCCATCTCCATGACCAAACCAATGTGCCGCTCAGCGACCCCATTCTGCTGCGGGGAGTCCGGCAGGGTGTACGACTGGGTGATGCCCTCCGCACGACAGAAGCGACCAAGGCAGCCAGAGTGGGGGGGAACGAGGAGGAGTGAGGGGCACGGCGGAGCCGGCCCTCGACGCAGGGGGTGCACGGAGGCGCTGCCGAGAAGGGGAGCACAGGGAACGACGTAGGGAGACCTAAGACAAGACCGTGCTGAGACATGTGATGGAGACGTGTGAGGGCAGGGTGACCTAGGCGGTGGTGCCACAAAAGTGACGGGTGAGTAAGCGACTGGCACGAGCAAGCCGCAGCAACTTGGGTAGACGCTGCCACGTGGGGGGCCGTCCCAACCGGGGGGGACGCGGTGTCCAGCGTGAACTGGCCAGACACCGGGTCCGGGGGAACGTGGTGAGGGGGGCACCAGTGGCGGCCTCGGTACAGACAGCGTACCTCTCGTGACCAAGGAATGTAGTGGTGACGCCGAGGTCCTGAAGACAGCCGACACCAACTAGATTCCGAGAGAACGAGTGGATGTGGAGGCCTGTAAGAGAGCCCGAAGGAACCGCCGGACAGGGGAGGGTGGTGGAACTATGGGCGACTACCGGACATGAAAAAGGGTCTGCAAGGGCAACTGCGGCAGGGACGGCAATCTGCGTAAGCGTAGTGTGGTCCCAAAAGAAACACCGAGACGCACCAGAGTCGAGAGTGAAGGAGAGCACGGCAGTAGCGGCTGGGGGCGGAGGAGCTAGGGTGGAGCCAAGGCTAAACAAAGCAAAGGGTCCTACGCCTTACGTAGCAGGGGAGCCTAAACTAGACACACTGGGCACACCTACACTAGGCAACATGGGGTAATAGGAACCAGTTATGCTAGAGTCATCGACATGCAGCACATACAATGCAGAGCTAATCTCATCCGTGTCCATATCAAAGATCCTAACACCACGGCAGAGCAGAGTGTACCAGTCGGGGAGGTTCGGTGCGGGGCCGAAGCGGAGACGAAACAGGTCGTCCTGGCAACTGAAACAGCGAGTGGGAGTATGACCGATCTTACCGCACATGAGGCTGCGGCGAGGACCGGTCGGAGCTGGTACTGGCAGCGCCCATCATTCGCACCACCACCCGACGACGAGCTACACGCACGACCACCGCGACCACCACCACCACCGGCGCCAGGCCACCCAGGCGGGAGGCGGCCGACCCTCCGCTGCGACTGCTGCTGCTGCTGTTGCTACTGGTCAAGCTGTGTTGCCTGCTGCTGCTCCCGCAGGGGCTGCTGCTCCGAGGCACCAGCCCCAGCCCCCTCGTCGGAACTACCGCCAGCGGATGAACCACCTCCACCACCACCTCCACCCCCCCCTCCACTACCACCGCCGCGCCCAGCCTTGGGGCAGCGGGCCTTACCATAAAGGGACCGCGCTGCGGCCACCGCGGCAGCAGTCTCAACAGCAGGGGCTACCTCTGATACAGCCGCAGAACCGTTAGAGTAAGTTCACTAAGCAGGAGCACAACCCTGAAAGATAGGGATCGACACAATACCGCTAGACTGGGCGATAGAGCGCTGACGGGTCTCTATGGCAGACAGGGTGTCGACAAAGTCAGTGAGGGTGAGGTCAGCGGGGTGCAGACTCAGAAAGTGGCCGCGGGCAGTGGCAAGGCGATCAGGGAGGCGGGTGGCAAGCAGGTAAATGGTAGAGCAGATAGGGGGCTAGAACACACGAAGCTGGGCCTCATTGCAGGCAGCACGCCAGCTCGCGTCGAGCGTGCGCAAGTGCGTGGCCAGGTCAGCGACAGTGGAGAACGAGGCGAGATCAAGGAAGAGCATGGGAAGAATCAGGCGGCCGGCAAAGGCAGAGGACGGGGTGGAATAACGCTCGACAACAGCCTCTAGGAACTCCTGCGCAGTCCTGATCGACTTAAAGGGGGGCCGCTCAGACAGGGGGAGGGCATGGCTAATCACGAGCCGAGCGACAGCGTCACGCAATAGCCGGATAGCACGGGCAAGGGCAGCAGCGGCGGCGAACTCACGGTCAGCAGACGTGGGGTCAGCGGGGAGAGCAGCAGGGGGGTCAGGGCAGGGGAGCGTACCGTCAATGTGGACGGTCACGGAGTGGCCGTCCTGCCGCTGGCCAGTGAGATGACGGCGGAGGTCGACGAGCCATGCGTCGAACTCAACCGGCTGACCCTCCGCATCAAAGCGCAGCACCGAGTCCGTCATTAAGGCCGCTGCAGCCGTGAACAGGCGGTGAAGGGCGGAGCGGAGCAGTGCGGTGGGATGTGGTGTAGTGCAGCGCCGCGCGGTGCAGAGTGGTGCAGTGCAGTGGGGCGCCATACAGTGCGGTGTCATGCGGTGCAGAGCGGTGTAGTGCGGTGGGGCGCGGTGCAGTGAGGTGGGGCGCGGTGCAGTGCGGTGGGATGCGGTGTAGTGCAGTGCAGTGCAGTGCTGAGCGGTGCAGCATGGTGGGGCGCGGTGCAGGACGGTGGAGAGGGCCAGTTTAGCGAGCGGGGACCGGGAAACACGGCGAAGTGGGGGGGGGGGGGGGGGGGGGCGCTGAGCAGCTGGGCGACGGGGCCACGGGGCGGCTGGGCGACAGGGCCGCGGGGCGGCTAGGCGACGGGGTCGCGGGGCGGCTGGGCGAAGGGGCCGCGAAGCAGCGGGGCGGCTGGGCAATGGGGCCGGGGGGCGGCTGGACGACGGGGCCACGGGGCGGCTGGGCGACGGGGCCGCGGGGCGGCTGGGCGAAGGGGCCGCGAAGCAGCGGGGCGACGAGGCCGCGGGGCGGCTGGGCGACGGGGCCGCGGGGCGGCTGGGCGACGGGGCTGCGGGGCGGCTAGGCGACGGGGCCGCGGGGCGGCTAGGCGGCGAGGCGCTAGGTGACGGGGCGGCGGGGCCAGCAGGGCGGCTAGGCGCTACGTGACGGGGCGACGGGGCAACGGGCGGCTAGGCACTAGGTGACGGGGCCGCGGGGCCAGAGGGGCGGCTAGGCGCTAGGTGGCGGGGCAACGGGGCCACAGGCAGCTAGGTGCTAGGGAATGGGGGGCCAGCAGGCGCTAGGAGACGGGGCCGACGGGCCAGCTAGGCAACGAGGCAGCGGGGCCAGCGGGGCGGCTAGGCGCTAGGCGACGGGGCCGGCTAGGACCTAAGGCGGAAGCGCGGGTGGGCAGGTGGGCGGGGGGGACCTAACCTACTCATGATACCATCTCAGAGTTGGAATGATAAGTAGAATGGGAGTATACAGGGGTATATAGCTAGTGGGTTGTACTCTCTATGGCATGACCCTATGTAGCCTACAAAACATACACACATGTTTGACACACCCCCTAGACTAGATAGGGGCAGAGCCTGGTGAGAGACACCCTGACGAGGCAACAAACCTGGAGCGGAAGACAGTTATACATCACAAGTAAGTTTGCCATAGACAGTATGGTTGTGCTGGGGCAAAAGGAACTGTATTTACCATAAATACAGGACACACACTCACTAAACACACCACTAAACGCTGCACAAGTGATACCCATCCGTACTACGATGATCTCTATTCCTCAGTTGCTGCCCACTCGAACCCTGCTTCGGCTGCATTTGTCACCTCAGGGCGCTTCTGATCATGCCTGTCACACCACCCATGGCTGGGCGCTGCCCGTTGCACTCGTCGCGACCCGACTCACATGCCATCTCACTTTACGTGCACTTGTCGCGGCACTTCTGGTCCTTCCTGTCACACCCATGGTTGTGGTGCTGGTTGTAGCAATCGTCCAGCTTGTCATCGCACTTCTCGGTGCACTCCGTCTGGCAGTCATTGTACGCGTCACTGGCATCAGACTCGCAGTCCCCGCGCTTATCAGTGCACTTCTGCTGTTTCCACCAGTCCCACGCCTTGTCCAGGCACCGCTGCTCCTTCTCCTCGCACCGCTGCATCTTGGTGTCGTACTTGTCCGAGCACGTCTGCCCACTGTACAGCACCCTCCTCATCACTGGCGCGCTCGCAGGAAGGGTCGCGAACGGAGCACGTGCACCTGCAGGGTAAACAGGAAAATGCTTTCTCGTTATGGGTCTATAACGCTACGGCTATATGGTAGTAATCACTGAACTTTTCAGAGCTTCAGGCAATTTTGGCTTAGATGACGTACCGCGAGCAGAAGGGAAGTTGGAGAACGCAAGGAGAGCGGCGAGCAGGAAGAGGAGGGAAGCGACAAGCTTTCCGTGTGCCATAGTGACGTCGTATCTCTTTCACTAGAGTAGAATAATAATAAAAAAAACCAGGACGATATGCTTTTGAGCTGCAGAACTCTAAGAGCAGGTGAGTGGAATTTGGATTAGGAGGTTCCGGAAATCTTGAATACTTGGCTGTTGAATGCGATGGCTAACGATCTGAGCGCGCCTCATTCAAATACACAATATCGCGCCTCGAGCCGTCGGAGTATACATTCTACCACCATCGGCTGCGGCTTTCGGAACACCGAGCCGCCGCCAAGAAACATCTTGGGAGCTCCAGCCCCTCCGAGCTCTCGCCGCTTGGCGCTTCGAGGCATCAGGCCAGACCAACCTAGAAACACCTCCAAACGCCGACCCGAAATGCTCAAGAATTCGCCGGGTTTGGCGTCGCTGAAGTTTAACGAGAAGTTTCGGGAGAGCCAGGTAGACTAGGATTCAAGAAATCCGCCATGGTCAACGCACCATCTATTGGTTCTGTTTAAGGCCACATGGGATCTGACCTGACACTCTTGCATGGATTGCTACTTGGCGAAGCAGTGTTTTTTTCTTGGTGCCTACTTGCTGTATCAGCGAAGGCAGCGCGTGAAGAAAGGAGTGGAGAGTGGAGAGTGGAGAGGGAAAGGCGCGAGGGGAGAAACTTCCTTCTGCTGGGCTGCTCGTCGATTGAAACCACCTTGACCTGATTGAAACGCTGTACACTTTGTTGGCTATAATGATGAACCATTATATCCTGCTAGATGTTTATGGCAAGGCAAATTTCTTTCTTCGTATTGAATGTGCAAAATCCAATGCAGGATTATAGTATCTTATAAACAAATCATGCAATGATTGAACTAATACAGATGGAAAGCTCCATGCATTGCGAATGCAGGGAAATTGTAGGTTGTTTTCTGGTAATCTGCCAATATTTTTCCGGGAAAATCATTGCGTCCCGGTTTTACATGGATGGATGACAAGATGCATTATGAAACTATGCAACGTTATATGGCTCCAAAGTTCCTCCTCAGTAACCGTTTTATGTAGTCCGTGGCAGCACGCACTATCGAGTTGCTGCATTCTCTGACAGATCGGTTCCATTTCACGACCCGGGCTCTGAGCGCGTCTGACAAACGAATTAGATACTCTTGACAGCAGGCACGGTCCGGTTATTTCCGCTCGTCATTCGGAATTTGTCTGGTATAGATTAGCTCTCTGGTACCCCATTTGAACGCGCCAACCAGCGGCCGCCATGTCAGGGTGGGACGAGGGGCAGGTATTCTACAGCAACCAGTCCTTCCCCGAGTCGGAAGGGGCAGCCGGCGACGACGCGCTGGGCGACGCGGGAGTCACGCGATACGCCGCGCAGAAGAAGCTTCGCGAGTTCGTGCGGAACTTTCACGATCCGCAGTACCATGACCGTTTCATCTACAGGTGTGCGTGTGCGCGTGTGTGCCTGTAACGGTGGCTTCCGCACGACCACCTCAACGACCAGCCGATTCCCATCGTCCACTTCTTTCCTTGCCTCGTTCCGAACCACTCACCCGCGATGCTCCTCGCTTAACCATCTGCGCTTCCCCACCGGTCCCCTGCACCGCCACAGAGCTCATCTCCCCAATTCTCATCACCCATCTGCATCCTCCACCCACACAACTTTTGAGGCGCCTCAAAAGTCGCCACGGAGCTCATCTCCCCGATTCTCGGCACCCATCCCCATCCTCTACCCACACAAATGCATTCACACCCGCCACTACCGCTCCCCTCCCTCTCCCCCCTCTCTCTTCCCCCCACTCCTCAGGGAGCGGCTGCAGGAGGGCGGGGGCGTGCTGGAGGTGGACTTGGAGGACCTGGCGAGCAAGGAGGAGGGGCTCTGCCGCCTCATGCGCACCCGCCCCGCCGACGTGCTGCCGCTGGTAGGATGGAGTGTCAGATTCGATCTGATCTCTTGCTGTGTGATTCCCCCGTGTGCTCTCAAGGCAGGACGCCCCTCATGGTCGCGTGGAAAGTGATATACTTTTCCTCTACCTCCTCTCTCCCTCCTCGCCTTCCCCCTGCCTCCCCCCCCTCCCTCCCTTCCCACCCGCCTCGTGCTGACGTGGCAGCTGGAGGTGGCGGCGGCTGAGGTGGCGGCGAGTATACGGCAGAAGGTGATGGCGGAGAGTGGTGAGCTGGAGGATGCGCGGGTGCCGCCCGTGCAGGTGCTGCTCAAGAGCTCCGAGGACGCCATGCCCATCCGGGCTTTGACGGTGCGTGCCTGCACTGGAAAGTTGTATTTTGAGTCGACTCAAAATACGGTGCGTGCCTGCCGTGGGTGCGCTCACGGTGCGTGCCTGCACTGGAAAGGAGTGCTAAAGTGCCTCTGATTGGACAACCGCCAGCACCGTCTTTCGTCACTCCCCCCTTTGGCTACCGTGCACCAGCACACATCTCATACCTTCTCAAGGTGCCTGGACTCATTCATTTGTATAGTTGTCTCCTCTTCCTCCTCTTCCCCCTCTTCCCCTTTCCCCTGTCCCCCCTCTCCCCCCCCCCCCCAGGCGGCGCACATCTCGCACCTGGTGAAGATCTCGGGCATCGTGATCGCGTCGTCGCGCGCCAAGGCCAAGGCGACGTCGGTGGTGCTCATGTGCCGCTCCTGCAAGAACGTCAAGGCCATCCCCTGCCGCCCGGGCTTAGGGGGAGCCATCATCCCACGCACATGCGACCGCACCCCCCAGGTTTGTTCTGTCTTCCTCATACTATCTTTCTTTATCACTCTCAAATGTTTCGAGGGTGTATTTGGCAGGACATTAATAAGCAAAGAGCATTTGGTGGATCTAGATGTGAGGTTATGCCCACTCTGCGTCTTTTGTTTCAATATAGCCGTCTGGGTTGTGAGGCACAGCAGAGCGTTTCCCCCTTTGAACTGTTTCCCCCTTTGAACTGTTTCCCCCTTTTAACAAACTGTCTGAGGGGGAGCTGTGTGGGGAGGACACGTGGGTGGTGCGGCTGGACAGAAGGAAATTCTCTATTGCTTTCCTCCCCCGCTTTCTCCTCTCTCCCTCCTCATTTCCATTCTCCCCCTTCCCTCTTTCCTCCCCCCCACCCCCCCCTCCAAGAGCGAGGAGTCTATTTTTGAGGCGCCTCAAAAATCGACTCCTTTTTTTGAGGCATTTCCTTTCTCTCCTCTCCCTTCCCTCTTTCCTCCCCCCCCACCCCCCCCTCCAAGAGCAGCCAGGCGAGGAGCCGTGTGGCATAGACCCGTGGGTGGTGCTGCCTGATAGGAGCGAGTACGTGGACCAGCAGACACTCAAGCTGCAGGAGAACCCCGAGGTGAGACTTACAGGCTTTTGAAGCGTTTTCAGGAGAATGTTAAGGTGAATAGTAGTTCAAGGCGCAGGAGAAATTAGAGAAGACTGCCAAGTCGACTTGGAAGTAGCCCCATGGTGCCTCATTTGAAGATGCCAGCAAGACACCTCATGTCCCATGCCCCCCCCCATGCCTCTCTCTCCCAGGACGTGCCCACAGGCGAGATGCCGCGCAGCGTGCTGCTGGCGGTGGACCGCTCCTTGGTGCAGCGCATCTCGCCCGGCACACGCATCACGGTGTTTGGCATCTTCAGCATCTTCCAGTCCGCCGACAAGGCCAAGTGAGTCAAGGGAGAGAAGGCGAAGCTGGTGTGGAGGGAAGGTAAAGTGAGTCAAAGTGCGGAAACAAGGCTAACACATGTTGGGGAGAAGTCAAAGTGAGGTGAGTGGTAGGGGAGACGATTGATGCTGAAATGAGGTGATGGAGCAGAGCAGGGGCGGTGCGCTACACTACACACTCTATCAGAAGTGGTCACTCTGGTGGGTCTGTCTGTGTGGCAACAGACGTCTGTTCATTCCACAGGAGCCCGCAGCAAGATGCGGCTGCGGGCCCCTCGTCGTGTCGCCATCACCAGTCGTCACACGCACGCATTTCCTCCCCTCTCTCCCACCTCTCAGGTCAGGTCACGGGGTGCCATGGTGGTGACTGCCATCCACCAGCCGTGCGTGTGCGTGGTGGGGATGGAGATGGCCTCATGCTGCACCTGCTGCTCACCCTCCCTCCCCTCATCCGCGCTCACCCTCCCTCCCCCTTTCCTGCAGGTCACGGGGCGCCATGGCGATTGCCATCCGCCAGCCGTACCTGCGGGTGGTGGGGGTGGAGATGGCCTCGGATGGCGCTGCAAGGTCCAATGCGTCCTCCTTCACCACTGATGAGGTGAGTGTGGTTGACTTGTTTTGACTCCTATTGACTTGCGTTGACCACTGTTGACTCATGCCCTCATTGACGTGCCTGCGGGTGGCGGGGGTGGAGATGGCCATGGATGGCGATGAGGTAGGCCCGTTGACTTGCGTTGACTCCCGTTGACTCGTAGTGGCTCCGATTGTCTTGGGTGCTGCAAGGTCCAATGTTGCCTCCTGTTGACCGGTGCTGGCCCTATCTGCTCATTGTGTCCCCACTCTTTCCCCCCTCACGCATTTCCCTTCCCTGCCATTCCCGCCCTGGCAATTCCTGTGATCCTGGCAGCAGGTTTTCCCCCTGGCACCACACAAACAGCTCAAAGGAGAAAAGCCATCCTTCCCCTGCCCTCTCGGTCTTGCATGAGTGCAGGAGGCGGAGTTCAAGGACTTCAGCCGCCAGAACGATGTTTACGGCGCCATAAGCAGCCAGATAGCGCCGTCCATCTTCGGCCACGCCGACATCAAGAAGGCCATCGCCTGCCTGCTGTTCGGCGGCGCCAGGAAGGTGAGGGTGCGCTGTGCTGTCTCTAACGCCCGCCATGCCATGCCATACCATGCCGACATCAACCAGGCCATTGCCTGCGTGCTGTTCAGCTGGGCCAGGAAATCGAAAGTCCGTGTATTTTTTAGAATTCTAAAAAATACCCCGAAAGTCCGTGTTGTGGTGTCTGTTGTTGGGAGGCTGGGATCCTCCCTTTGACTCCTCCTCTCTCCCTTCTGCTCCCTTGTTCACCCAATCAGCTGCTGCCAGATGGCGCCAGGCTGAGAGGCGACATCAATGTGCTGCTGATTGGTGATCCCTCCACTGCCAAGTCACAGGTGAGTCAGCATGAGTCACAATCGAGTAAGCATGACTGGGAGCTGAGCCCGCACGAGCCTAGAATCTAGCAAGTTCCTTCCCCTCTCACAAGTTAACCTTTACTCACAGCTGGAACCATGTTGATTCATTGTGAGCTGCGTTGGCCACATAGTTTCCAGTCTGCATGCACACCTGCTCCACAGACAGTTGGAGTCATTCTTCACGGTCGCAGTAGGCCTCCACCATTCGCCAAATCCCGATTCGGCCTGAAATGTGGAGGAAGATGTCCACCCAGGGGGGTCTCTTGCAAGGCATTGAAACCCATTGCTCATCGCATTCTCCGGCCCTTCCAGCTCGCCTGCATTCCCCCGGTGCCTCCCCAACTGGTGCCTCTGTCTCATTCCCTCGCCTTGTGGCGTCCATTTTTGAGGCGCCTCAAAAATAAACTGGTGCCTCTGTCTCATTCCCTCGCCTTGTGGCTCAGTCCCTCGAGTTGGCGGAAATGGTAGCC